TTGAATCAGTCCTAAGATAATTGGTCCTAAGGACTTATAGACCAAGATGTTTGGTATTTATGTACAAAATGTTTGATATCTATATACCAAAAAAAGGAGAAAAATCCAAATGTTCAATAATAATAGAATGACTAAATATACAGTCACCCTTCTGTATCCACACGTCCTACAGCTCTGAGTTCAATGACCTGCAGATGAAAAATATTGAAAAGGAAAAGAATTGTATGTATATTAAACATGTAGAGATATTTTTTCTTCCCTAAACAATATGGTATAACAACTGTYTACATAACACATGATACTAGGTATTATCAGTAATCTAGAGATGACTTAAAGTATACAGAAGGATGTGTGTAGCTTATCCACAAATGTTATCCSATTTTATGTAGAAGACTTAGCATTTTCAGATTTTGGCTTCCTCAGGGGGTCCTGAAACCAATGCCCTGTGGACACAGAAGAACAATTGTCTTACAACCTAGCCCTTCAATGGACTATCATGATCATCTAAAGTAAAAAGGAAAGTGTTTGTTGCATAATATTAAGCATGAAAGAGCAATAGTGATTTTTTAAAAAATGCCTTTAAATTATGTCAATAAGTAACTTGTATTTGTATCTGTGTGTACAGATGAATGAATGCTAGCTAGATACATGTTTTTACATGATCAATAAGTTGAAAGAATAAAAGGAAACAAATTGTCAACAATGGATACTACTTTATTAGACTTTATTAGACATTTAATAACATAGCATTTTAAACCACTTTTATAATAACACAGCAAAGAAAAAGTAGGAGCAAGATTAGAAATAATTAATATCCTAGAAACCAAACCAGAAAATTTTAATAAAACAGGAAGATTTACTATAAAGCTTCACACAGATTCTGGTAGAAGTATGGAATTTATTATATCTCCAGTGATACAGATTTAAAAATAAAAGGTGAATTTAAAATTGGTTTGGACATATTTCTAATGGACATAGCTCACTTTTAGGACTTAATACATGGTACAAGACTTGACATCTTACAGAAAAACACGATCCTGGAATAAGATAGACCACCATTCTGATTCAGTCAAAAGAAATCCCACGGGCTGGGGTTGTGGCTCAGTGGTAAAGCAGTTGTCTAGCAAGTGTGAGGCACTGGGTTCAATTCTTAGCACCACATATAAATAAATAAAAATAAAGGTTCATCAACAACTTTAAAAAAAAAAAGAAATTCCATGTTTTTCTACTGCAACAAGAAACGATGTCATGTGTCATCTTGTGTGTCATAGGAGTACTAATTTTAGTGACTACTTTTAAAAGGGCAAGTTAGAGATTTCCAAAAGCAACACTCTGATTCTTCAAGGAAAAGGTATACACCATATATGCCATAAACCTATTTCTGCCACCCTCTCAACTTAAGTGAGCAATTCTGTTGCTTAGCCTTGAATCACTCTTCTGCAGCAGAATCATGGTCTCCTGAGCATAGTGCTCAGGAATGATTATAATTTAAAACTTCAGAATGGGCCCCATTGGGTTTGATTGTCTGATTTGGGAAAGACTTTTTTACATTATGATTCATGTGGTACATGCATCAACCAAATTCTAAACTGGCAATTTAAGTATGAATTTAATATTTACTATGATTCCTGAAACATTTTTACATAAATACACTCTCAGCGGCCTGTTTGGATAATGTGTAGCATACTCAGACAAAAATTAACCTAATTTATGCATAATTCTGTGAAACATGCCAATCACATAAGTCTACTCATTCCACGCATCAGAATCACATCCGAAATATCAGATGGGTTCAAGTCATCCAGGTCAGCTTCTGCTAAGTTATGATAGAGTAACAAATGACATTAAAATCCTGATGATTTACAGTAAGAAAGGTCCTTTCCTTGCTCAGGATACATAGCAACTAAAGTCAGCTCTCACTCTTTTCTCTGTCCTCATTCCAGCCTTTAGGCTAAATGAGCAGCTTTTTTTCCAGGACGCATTCTCTTCATAAGGAAGGGAGAAGCAGAACCAACCACATGAGGGTTCTTAAACCATTTTCTCGGAACTACACACAGCACTTTTGCATGTATTTTATTGACTAGCACAAGTTCAATGGCCAGTGCAGATGTAAATGGGATAGGGAAATATAATGCCTCTGGAGGAAGGGCAAGGAAAAACTGAGAATAATACTGCAAGCTGTCACATCAAGCATATATGCTAACTATATTTTATATAGTATATATGGAAAACAATCACTCAGAAAACATGAAAACTATATAGAGCAACACATACATTACTTCATTAGCAAAGGTCTTGAGAATTGTGGAAACATTAGGCAAACCCCAAAAGAAGCAGAAACTCATTCTTCTCCATCACGGGGGGAAGCGAGGAAGGCAGGTGTAAATGCAGGTGGGCTCTAGAATGACAACCCATAAACATTTTAATACAAAATCAAGCAAAACATAAACACAAATCTGAATATTACAATGTGGAATCTAATAGGGGTTTCCAGATCATTTTTCCACCCCACCCACTCATCACTCTAGGAACTATGGCTGACTCTCATTCCATGATCTATGGATTTTTACCAGGTGTCTGTTGGTCTGTCTGTCTGTCTCTCTCACATACGCTCTTTATTTTCCTATTCTCTAGCTCATTTCTTAATTTTTATTTTAAGGAACTTATTTTCTGTTCCTAATTATTAAGTCAAACTTTCTCTTATTACAAACTATATGTTTATTCATTTTTAAATATAGCTGTTTCTTTCAATATATTCTGAAAAACACTAGCTTGAACTTAACATGTTAAACCAGAAATAAATTTTTGGTTGTTTTTTTATTTGTTTGTTTTGCTTTTCCCACCCATCCGACTATTTCCTTAATAGGAGGATCAGTTGCTACATGTGTTCTCTGCTCCATTTCCTGTGCCTATGGTAAGGCAAGGTGCAAGGTAAAGTCACTTTAGCATGAAAATAAATTTTTTGTTTGAAATCTAAGTTTAAATATATTCCCCCTTTCGGTAGGAACATCTAGTCTATGTCATTTCCTGTGTTACATATCTATATGTGTTCTGCTCCCATCTCATATGTCCTCCATATTGAGGTAATATTCCTGTCAAACAACATACTGCCCAATTTCAGGAAGGCTGCATATGCTCACATGACAATATTAAGCCATGGTCTAAGTTTGTGTGTTATTAGGATGTTATATTTCTTGCAGATTACCAACTTTCCATAACCATACTGCCTCCATAGAAGGTGTCTACCTCTATTTGAGTTTTTCTTCTTGAAAACAAACTACTTTGTTATCTTTATTCCTATATCGTTTCTGACAGAGTAATTTGAAACTAAGAAGTCAAAAAGTCTGACTTTCTCATGTTACAAAATTTGATCTACGCTCTTAGGTGAAAACCCAGGAAAACATGATTACGATTACTCATTATTTCCATTCCATTTAATTATACTTACTTTTCATAATAGTTAATGCTACTGACCAATGTTTTATTAATTAAAATCCTTTTTCACTTGCTGGATATGTTTATGGCTTTGATTGTGGTGACAGTTTCATAGGTATATACTTAGCTTCAAACACATCAGGTTGTACACATTAAATTATGCACAGATTTTTGTAAAAGAAAAAAAAAAGAATCCTATGATAGCAGTCAGGGTCTAAATGGTCATGGATTCAGCGTGTCTATACACACATTTCTATCAAAAGTTACTTTGGCTGGGTGCAGTGGCATCTGCCTGTAATCCCAGAGGCTGAGATAATTCTGAAGGCTGAGGCAGGAAGATTGAAAAAAAGATTGCCTTTAGAGGAAGAGCAGGGAAAACTGAGAATAATACTGCAAGCTGTCACATCAAGCATCTATGCTAACTATATTTTATGTAGTATATATGGTTGCAAATTCAAAGCCAGCCTCAGCAACTTAGTCAGGCCCTAGGCAACTAAACAAGACCCATCTCAAAATTAAAAATTAAACAAAAAGGGCTAGGGATGTGGCTCAGTGGTTAAGCATCCCTGGGTTCAATCCCCTTTATCAAAAAAAGAAAAGAAAGTTACTTTGTTGTTTTGTCATTTAACAATTTGATTGCTCAGGCATGTCAAGAGACTCCATAGACACCAAAAGAAGTTTAATATTAATCTCGAAGTATTCATGGTGAACCTTGAAAGTACTTGGTCTTGCCCAAAATTCTGATTCACATGTTAGATTTTTGAAAGCTGCCTTCTTCAAACAGAAGTTCCTAGAAAATAGTGCCACAACCAAGAAAAGCTCCTGCAACCTTTTTCCTTATATACTCATTCCAGAAAGGCAGTTTAAGACCAGACCTGAGGATAACTATCTTGGCATCAAGTGTCATTTGATAGTCATGCTTCACATAATCACTGCCCTGGATTAGATTCCGAGATAGTTTCCAATATCCTATCTGAATTCCATTCATTGCCTGGTCCCTATTTCTTATGTGAACCATTAACCATGAATAAAAAGCTTAATTTTCATCTGTCTCTGTTCTCCTGTACTGACTGGATACTCAGAAACACTTCAGGCTGTACAACCTGATAAGAATATCACTTCTACATGGCTTGAATAGTTTTCTTCCAACCCTGCCCTGTCTTTTTAGAATCTACACTCTGCTCTTAGCCACCAGTTTGGCATGAGTTCTTAGCTTTTTCTTATCATGATCAGAGCTCTTCCTACCTGCCCAGCTTAAGCCTTTTTTCTAGGTCCCTGTGACATCTCCTGTCCTATGTGTCATAGACCCATCCACAGTGGTGAGCAATTTCCTCTGAGTGACTCAGATTGAAGAGATAACCTCACCAATGACTGGATTGTTGAATGTGCCTCAGATGTATAGATTTAAGAGTGTGATAGATACAGATGTGGATATGAAACACTCACTTGATAAATAATTAGGGAGATTTTATTCAGACTTTTGTTTTAAGCTGCATTTTAAATATAGTTCAGACTTTCTGATAATTTTAACTATAAAAATAAACTGATTTCTCTACTACTTTTAGATGGTCCAGTAGTCTATGCAGCATACTTAAAAATGGAGCACAGTGATGAGAACATTAAATTCTGGACGGCATGTGAGACCTATAAGAAAATTGCCTCACGGTGGAGCAGAGTTTCTATGGCAAAGAAGCTTTATAAGACCTACATCCAGCCACAGTCCCCTAGAGAGGTAAAAACCGATGGAACTTTACATCCCAGTATCTCCTAATATGTTATAAATTTGATATTACTAATCTTATTTTATAGATTAAAAAAAAAGAATTTGTAAAGTTAATGAACTTGTCCAGTGTCATTACAGTGGTAATGTTAGTATTCGAATTTAGGCAGTCTGGCTCCAAAATTGCTCATTAGATTATCTTAATTCCCAGGAAGGTTAAAAAGAAAAAAAAAAGTGTCCTTGCCAACAGAAACTACAAATGCCATAACTAGGCATGTGCACATCCCAGTGGCAATCCACCACCACACCAGAGATTACTGTTCACCTCCACATAAAACCAACAGACCCAGCAGACATCCACATTGTGATTACCAGCAGTCATTTACAGTGAATGAAACAGATTCACTGAGACTTTTCCTAGCAGACAATGAAAAATGAATATTCCTGTTGAGGGAAAAGAACAGACGATGGTAACTTATTCTCTGAAATTCTTATTTGGAATTTTTTTTTGGTTTACTTAGACAACCACTTCTGCCCTCCATTTCTCCTCTTCTCACCTTCTTCCCATTTCAGGGCATATTCAGTGAAAACAACCTTTGTAACTAATAAGGAAGATAGATTTTAAAATAGAACCAACTTCCCCTTTCCTTAAAAAGAGGCCTTGGTTTCATAAGCTTCCTTGTTTGCAGACATCCACTAAAAAAGCCGCCAGCATCCTCCTAAGTAGAGTGTGGTTTCTGAGACTCCTGTGGTCTTAGGCCAGGTGGCTTCTTTATTCCTTTGGGATGTGAAGGTGGATATTTACTTTTAAAAAGCAAAAAAAAAAAAAAATATATCTCTGATAAATCTTTTTAGATATCTATGAACACTGTGAGCAAAATTACCTACTGGACTGAAAAGGAGGGGGGAATAAATGAAACCTTCCCGTTTAAAGTGTCCATGTTTAATTGTGCTTACTTACGCTCTACATGTAATTTTCCTTTTCAGATTAACATTGACAATTCAACAAGAGAAACTATCATCAGGAACATTCAGGAACCCACTCAAACATGTTTTGAAGAGGCTCAGAAAATAGTATATATGCATATGGCAATGGATTCCTATCCCAGGTTTCTAAAGTCAGAAATGTACCAGAAACTTTTGAAAACTATTCCTGACTGCCACTCAAAAGTTTAAATTGAAAATTGTATATAGCAAGTACTTGCTTTGATCTTTTACTTTAGGAAAGCACAAATCACAACAAAAGAAGGAATAAAACAAAAATCTAGCTAAAAATTTATTTCTAGTTCCAAAGAGAAATATTACAAAAGGAATGAACTCTACAACTCTTATAAGTAATACAAGGTATAGGATACCTATCTTCATTATATTAACAGTATGACATTTTTACTATAGTAATCAACTAATGGATGTTTTCATTAATTTTGCTGTCATCATGCACAGATTACTTATTTAAAAACTTTATCTCTGTGAATTATGTCTCTATCATGAATGTATTCTGCAAATATAGTATTCTTAATAACTCAAATTAGCAGACAAATTTGGTATTTGTAATTCAGTTGTGTTTTATCTTGAGTAATATTAAAAAGATACATTCTTGAGAGATATTTAATCTGTATAATTTTCCTATTAATCTGTTCATAACTAACATTCTATAACATATATATCTTGTACATGTGAAAAAAATTGTGATGTTCTTTAAAATGTGTTTTTTCATTTATTCTTGCACTTAACATTGCTATAAGGATAGAAAATTTGATTCTTATTTTTTGAGAATTGATTCCTCACAATATAAATTCTTCATGATCTTGGTAATAAATAAATCTAAACATAAATTTAAAGTTATAAACATGTATTTTTCAAGGACACAAAAAAGATATCATTTCAGTATAAATTTCTAAAGGTCTAATGTTGATATTTTATAATGGTGAAAATATATAATATTTTTACTTTCCATAGATTTCACGGAAAGTATAAGGAGTTTAATACATTCATTTTATCTTGCCTTATTGTCATTTAAAAGATCATTCTTTTAAAGACTACAGATTCAACATCCACATTTGGAAGCTCAACATAGTACTTACACGTTTAACAGTTGATCTCCTGTCTTTTATACTTAAAAAAATTTTCAGGTACTTCAAGTCTTGTATTTTGAAAAAAAAGAAATCATTAAAAAAGTATTTCCGCCCTGGGAATCATTTTCAAATGTTCATGTTTTTTCTTGGTTTTGGAAAGTAGATTAAAATAGATGTTACCCTTGTTTTGAAACAAAGCTTCCCCTTTCTTCCCAGTGATTCACTACTTCTCTGTACCACAGCACTCTTAATTCCATGAGCCATTACATTTTATTGTACCTAGAAGAATGATTTTGTTGGTCATATGCCTCCATGGTTCACAGGGTCCCAGGCATTTTGTCTGTAGTGTTTATTCCACTTTTAAAAAGAGCAGCATGAGTAACTGCACAGTCAGCCATAACAAATTCAGGTGCTGAGGAGGTCCAAGCCATTAACCACCTTGATCCCAGCTCTGAAACTAAGGAGGTCTTTCTAAATAAATGAATGAATAAACAAAGAGACGGCACTGATAGAATAAGGAATCCACTTTGACTACACATAATGGAAAGGTTAGTAGATTCGTTGTTAAGAAACTTTGGTTTCAACTCTAGATATCTCAAATTATTAACTACATAAATTTATTCACCTCTGAGAAAACTACAGAAAATTATAAAATTTCTTATTCCATCTGCTCTTCAGTTTCCTCATCTTCAAAATGAAGTAGTTAGACTAGATAATAGATATCCTTAGCTCCTCTCCAGCTTCAAAATTTTGTGCCTTCAGTACTTTTAAGTAATTGAGTGCAGCATCTAAAGGGGTGTGTGTGGCATCCTGTCACCTGTCCTCTGACTTTGTTCAGTTAATAGCAAGATATATCTTCAAAACTGAACTTTGTCACTCAGGTACTCTTCTAAGATCATACGTGCTCAGATGTTTATAAATCATGTACAGTCACAAACATACTCCTACTCCCCTTTTCCAGGTCTCCCCACAACAGTCACTGCTGAATTCCATGTTGGGCTTCAAGAAAAGGCCTCAGGATTGTGAAAAACAGTATACAGCTTCCTCAAAAAAATTAACATATTTTATCCCATAATCCCAGATATGGAATACTTATAAAAACTTAAATATATCGTATATATCATGTAATCATTAATTATATAGCATAATCATATTAAATAATTCTAATTTTAATTAAAATAATAATATATAAGCCCTAGATTATGATTTTCAACATATTTTAATGCACCTATGCCAACTTCATTGAAATATTAGATTTGAAAACTTGGGACTTAATGGGTTATAAATAGACCTATCTTGATCCAGCACTGCACTTCTGGGTATCTATCCAGGGATTGAACAGAATCTCAAAGAGATATCCCTACTTCCATCTTCTCCACAGCATTGTTTACAATAGCCAAGACAGGAGAACAATCTAAAGGTCTTTCACAAGATGATTAGATAAAGAAAATATGAGACCAGACATATATACACACAAATACAAGCTGAGTATTCCTTATTCAAAATGCTTAGGACCAGAAGTGTTTCAGATTTCAGAATTTTTATATTTTTGGATAATTTGCATACACATGAGATTTCTTGAGGATGGAATATAATCCTAAACGTGAAATTAATTTATTTATTTTATATGTACTTATATGTATGTATATATACATACACAGAGTATAATTTTATATGATATTTTTAGTGCTTCTATGTTTTGACTATGATCTGCCACACAAGGTAAAGGTGTGGTATTTTTAACTTGTAGCATCATGTTGGTGCTCAAAAGTTTTCAGATTTTGAAGCATTTCAGATTTTGGATTAGGGATGCTCAACCTATATTATGCAGTCAAAGAAAAAAGAATGAAATCCTCATTTTTGCTAAATGGATGGAGGAAAGCCAAATGAGTAAGACACAGAAATACCACATATCTCCCTTACACATGGAATCTCATAGAAGAGGAGAATAGCATGGTGGTTGCCAGGGTTTGTGAGGAGGGGAAGGATAGACATCAAAAGGTACAAAGTTTCAGATATGAAAGGTGGGTAAATTTCAGAGATCTAATATACATCGTGATGATAATATATAATGATACTGTACTATATACTACTAAGAAGGTAAATCTTAGATATTCTTAACACACACAAATAGTAACTATGTAGAGATAACAGACATTAATTACTGAAATTGTGGTGATCATTTCACAATGGACATATCTATCAAAAACATCAAACTGTATACTTTAATATATGCAATTTTATGTCAAGAATATCCTAATAAAGCTTAATAAACACTATGGATGTGTCAAAATGAACCCTACTATTATGTATAACTACAATGTACTAATTAATAAAAAACAAAAATAAAAAAGTTAAAAATCTCAAATTGTTCTATTAAGTTATGATAGAAATTTCAGAATAAAATATTGCTTTTCTTCACAACATACTAAATTTGGGTAATAATATCTATAAAACGATAAACTGCAAGACTTATATTGAATAGAAACAAGCAGAATATTGTTAGGATCCTTGGAACAATGGGGAATATTTGCTGATTATTGTAGAGGTCAAGAGTGTTTTAGTCAGCTTTTTCACTACTATGACCAAAAGACCTGACAAGAACAATGTTAGAGGAGGAAAAGTTTATTTGGCGTTCAAGGTTTCAGAGGTCTCAGGTCCACAAATGGCCAAAGCTGTTACTCTGGGCCTGCGCTGAAGCAGAACATCATGGTGGAAGGCTGTGGAGAAAGAAAGCAGCTCAGGACAAGACAATCAGGAAGCCCAAGAGACCTCCACTCACTGGGGACAAAATATAAACCTCAAAGGCACAGCTCCAGTGACCTAACTCCTCTAGCCACACCCAACCTGCTAACAGTTACCACACAGTTAATCTATTCAAGTGGATGAATGCACTGATTAAATTAAGGCTATTATAACCCAATCATTCCACCTCTGAACTTTCTTACATTGTCTCACACATGAGCTTTTGGGGGCAACCTCATAGATATCTAACCCGTAATGGACAGTAACAGAACAATATTAATTTTTTGAGACAAAAGCTATGTCTTACATTTCATTCTCACTGAATGAACTACAATATGCTCCAAAAAGATATAAATCAAAGAGTCAAGGAGTTGGTAAATGAATCACAGTTGTTGTTTTTTTTTTTTTTTATTCACCAGTGAGAAATGAATAACTCTGGTGCCAGATCTCCTTTACACTCTAAATCAGCAATTAAAAAGCAATTCCTGGTTTGCATAGACAATACAAGACTTCAGAACTAACATACGCATAAAATCAATATATCATGGCCTAAATTTGAGTCATTTAACAAATCCTCTATCTACTGCATGAAAACAGTGAACAAAAAATGTGCATTCTACTAAATATTAATGATATGGAAGAAATTGTGACAATGCAAGCCAACTGAAGAGAGGAAAATTAATAAGTGGTCTGAGTGGGATTGGCTGGTGGAAGGTAGGGCAAGCTTTAGGGAAATGCTCAGTCATCCTATCAATGAAACAGAGTCATTCTACTAAAGTGTTTTCATTATTAACACAGATAGCAAATGTTCTTTTGATTTTTTAACAACTTATAATTACTCTTCTAACCAAAGGTGCATGGTCCTTGTTCTCAGTGAGAAAAAGGTGAGTTGAATGAGTGTGGATGAGTGTGTTTATCAAATTTTCTTTTGAAACAATTTCTACAAACTGAGCTTCTACATATTTAATCAGTTTTCACTTACCATTGGTATCAATTGCACAAAATGTGCTTTGGGCTCCTGTCATGCCAGCTTCTTAGCATTTCGAGAATATACTAGTAAATAGAGTAATTAGCATTCTTTACTACTTCCCTCTTCCCTTCAATGGACAGATATCTGTACTGCAAAGCAGAGTAAGCTGAACCTCCAGTTTTGTTTATACTCTGGTTTTCACCTCCAAGGTACAATCTGTCTTTCCGTCTCTCTCAAAGTCTTTCCACACACCTAATATCCTTAGACTTACATCTAATATCCTTAGACTTTAGCAGCAGGCTTCAGTTTCCTTATCAATACAACTGACATGATGAAGAAAGCCAAATGCTGTGCATGATTTTATTATACCCCATTACAATTTGCCCATCATTTTCTTTTTCTATAACTTGGACTCATTTTGAAGAATAGTTCCTTCAAAAATGGAAGTTCTCATGAGGAGGTAGATAATAAACTACTTATTTTGCCTTTAAGAATAGTTAAGAGAGATCCTTTCAAATATATAAAATATAATGACTTAGGAACGAACAGACAATATGAACTTAAATCCT